TGTTGCTACTCCAAGTGTGTATGTGAGGGACAGAGGAAAGGAGAAACAAAACACCCCATGATCTAGAAAGTTTGAAAGAAGAGGTATTTATTACAAAATTAAATTCCAAATTCTACCTCATTTTCCATGATCTCCTATACAAAATACATTTATAGCTCAAGGGAACATTCTCCCATCCACACTGGATGGTGCAGTAATTACACCTTAGTTAGAAGACATTCAGTTCATGGACAGATTCACGCACACACACACACACACAGCATTAGTAAACGGTTCAGAATACGGGACAGAATTACAAAAGAACCCCTGTCACTGCTGCTCCAAACTCTTGCTCAGTCAGGGGCAAGTTCTCCAAGGATGGCTCTAAACAGCGCCTCTTGTAAAACACAACAACTCACTTAGCAAAGTTTTAGGAGCAATTACAAATTCAGCTGGAGTGGCTTCTGTGCTAGTATGTCCCCTACCTCAGATATTATTTGTGACAGTCATAGCCTTTGACATTCAAGTAAAGAGCGTAAGGGACTTTAAAAAGTAAAGCAACTCACAACCAACCATGCAACCAAGTTCTTAATACTTTAAAGACAGAGACAATTTTCAGTCCTGACTGCTTGCAGCCCACAGCCCCCCAAAGAGAGCAAGTGTGCTATGGAGGTGGTGGTCTTTTCCTCTGCCTTCCTTTCCCAGCAGGAAAGAGCCTTATGATGTTCTAACAGTCCACACAGTTTTGCTTTCAGGACACACACCTGCCAACATGTGGGGTCACTTGCTGTAAAGGGGGCAAAAAAAAAAAAAAAAAAAAATCTTACCTAAATTTGCCAGCTGGCAGAGGCATAGGGCACCGCTAAGGAGACATTCACATTGCCAGCCGGATCCTGAGAGGAGGAAACAGTGTTATAATGGTACTTGTGTGCAGAGCGCCAACCCAGAGGGTAAGTCACACAGGCACGGCTTCTGGAAGAGAAGCCGCTATGCGTGGCAATGGAGAATTTCAGGTAATGCCTGTGCTTCCACATTGACAGCTGGTTCACTCTCAAGTCCCTTGAAAACAATTCTCAGAGGGATACAGGAGGGAACTGTCAAATAACACATTTGTTTACCTTTCCATAACAAGATTCTGGTTTTGCTCTCAGTGCATGTGAGAGGTATTCATCCACTCAGGATGCTATGAGGTGTCCTGTCCTACCCCTTGTTCAGGCACCTGTAAGAAATGGATGCACAGCCTATAAGCTGGAGGAGAAGCAAAGGCATGTCTTGTACTTTGGGCGTACTTGAAGAAGCAGAAGGAAGGATGGAGATATAAAAAGACAGATCCTGTCAATGCCCTTTGTGCATCAATAAGCCCTTCCAATCAAGACGCAAAAAGAAAACTCTGCAGTCAAGACAGTGCTAGTGGCTGTCCCACCCACAGGGCTGTGAACAATGCTGGTAAGCAGTGCATGACACCAAAGCCCTCCACCTGGACCAAGGGGAACCTTGGCACAGGAATCTCCATTCAAATCCTCCTCACAGTCACACTGTGTCTCATAGCATGAGTAGCCCAGTTCCTGGAAATAGGCCAGTCCCTGCTGTTGGAAGAGGTATGTGCGCATCGGTGTCCTGAAGCGACTGTTAACAGAAACCTTTTAAGATGGATGGAGTGTCTAGGATGAAGCTATAGGAACTAGAGGCCTTCTATCTATCCTCCAAAGACTGAAGAGGTGAGAATAGAGTTTACACATAAAAAAGAATTTGAAGCAGGGAATGTGGCAGCCTGCAGTTTTTTGCAATTTGATTCCACAGATACAGTTTGATGAAATACTTTGCCAGTGATAAAAGGAGCCCCGTCAAGCAATGTTCAAAGAGAGCAGCTGCTCCAGAGAACAGCATCTTCTGGCCTCAGAAATCACCGTTAGCCATTTTCCACGTGACTGGGGAAGAAGACTAATAAGCAGTCCTCAAAATGAACCTGAACTCATTCCACAAGCATAAATGGAAGAACCAAACTGAAGCAGGCCAAATTCCATTCAGAAAGCAAAGAGTTCCCTGCACCCATTGCCTCACATCTGCACCACTCAGACATTTTAAGTCAGAGTCGTAAGGGAAGCCCAGTTATTGTATTTTATTAACCTCACAAAATACTGGTTACTATTATGCTCCAGCTGTGGCCTGACAGGTTTTGTTTTGAGAAGCGAGTATTGAAGGTCAAATTCTAACTAAAATAATTTTTCAGTATTTTTCCTCTGAAAGAAAACAGAGCAACATCAATTTACACTTACTTGAAAACCCAATTCTTGGAGTCCAGAGGGTGCAGAGGAAGTGTTCGCCCTCTAGTCTTCAAATGTGACCTTTTAATATTTTTAACTCCAGATTTTAAATTAAAAAAAAAAAAAAAAAAAGAGAAGATTCTGCTGCAGGTTGCTCCCTCTTGTGGAATAGCTAGATTTTTTTTCACTGTATGCCCCCACCCCCTTACTAGCACGCAAGGCCTAAGAAATCGATTGGTCTCAACACCAATCAAGTGCTCTCAGAGGATTTCTGAAACGGCAGTCCTGAAGAAAAATAAACATTTGTCTGTATTGAAACAGAAGCTGGGCTTGTGCACAGGAAGGTGGGATGGGAGCAAGACATTTGCCACCTTCAGCTGGCCGATCCCCAAACTCAGCTGCCAACCCCCACCTGAAAGATCATTAGCAATAAAGGACAGAGGGACCCTGGCCAAGGAACACACTGGCTCATCTTCCACAGGCAGCTCCTACAAAGCTGACCCCTTCATAACAAATGAAGTCACCACGGTTATTAAGTCGATCTTTGCTTTCCCACAGATTTAATTTGATGAATATGGAGTGTTAGAAACTGCTATTCCAAAACAGTCAAAAGTTTCTTAGTTTTCTTTGTTGTTCTTTCTGTATTAAGGGCAAGTGTGTGATTGTATGCCCTGTGAAAAACACTACACTTTAGATCATGGCTTTTATCAGTTCTTCTGGCAAATCCTCCCCATGGCAATAGGACTACCTTAGGGAAAGTTCATATTCAGGATAGCAAGGTATTAAGCAGATAATCTCACCAAGAGTAGAAGATGCCGAATCACATTGCTACAAAGGCAGCACTGCACCGTCTGCCTGCCATGATGCCAACAGTTAACAATTCACAGCTGCTGTCAGATCAAGCGGGATCTGAAGAAGTTTGCAGCCTTCTTCCTCATCCTTCTTGCCTATGTATCACCTCTGTGAACCCCTGGCTCATGCAAGTGGGAGCACTTCCTGCAATAGCAAGTGGAAAAGCATCATCAAACCCTGTAGCTAATTAGCGCAATGACTTCCCACCATGTATTACCAGCAGGCGATTAACTCAAAACCTTTAGAATCAAAAGCATAGGTCCATACCACCTGAGTTAATGGCCACAGGAGTCAACTTCTGGAGAGAGACGTGACAGACCCTTACAATAGCAAGCAGCTGTCTTACTGAACAATGCTATGGATCTCTACTAAAGCGGAATGAAAGTGAGTCTGACTGGAGTGTCAGTCCCCCCCTGCAGAACAACTATGCTAACACAGCCCTTCTGTATTGTAGGAAACACATCAGAATTCCAGGTTTGGCAAGAGAAATAAACGCACAATTCATGTTTAAAGACAGACACACTCACCTGCTACTCTCCCTGTACCTGTAATTTTGATGCAAGGCTGAGAAGCAGACCAAGAACTCTGAAATAAAAGGCTTGAGTTCCTTGAACACAAAAGAGTTTTGCAAACATTACTTCTTGAGACAGGAACACAGCTGGGGTCTAAGTGTCATTCATGTTGGATGCTACAAGGTAGCAACCTTGAACTGTGATGAGAAATTGAAGTTCGGTGAAGAGCAGGAGATGGAATAAAAGGAACATTTACAAAAACAGACCTAAGACAGGAGAAAGGCACCTGATAAATAGTATTCTGCTTTCTTGGAAGGGGCGGATTCAACATCCAATGGCTCTTCACACTTAGCAGACAAAGAATTTTTGCCTGGCCTCCCATTTTCTTCAATACAGTAATTTAATGGTCGGACATCTATGAGACGGAACTTGCTGGAATACACTGTGCAGATACTGTGGCACTGACAGCCAGTTTTGCAGATGCCGCATTCATTAAAATGAAGCCTTTCCCCTAAAAGCACAGGTACTGGCACTGGAATAGCTGAGATCAAAACACAACTGACAGCTGTCCATAAAATTCTCAAGCTATCATTTCAGTCTCCAGCACACCCCCAAGAACCCGGTCATCACAGCATACTGGGGCAGAAAATACATTGTCTGTTACTTCCACTGTAATTTCCTTAGCAGTTTCAGACAGAACTGCAAAGAAGCTACAATGTGCTGAGCTGGGACAGTCTGGCTCTGAGGGCAGGCCTGCTTGGTGATTGTTATAAATGATTAAAGGTGACCAGAAAGCAATCTCCATCTCCTCTGTCTGCAATGGGCCTGGGAGACAGGCAAGGCACAGTGGCTCAGGAGATTTCAAGCAGACCCCTTTCAGTCAAATTCTAAAAATTCAGGGTCAGAAGAAAAAAATGCAGACAGCCAGGACAGGGTAGAATGGAGGTCCCCAGATACTTACATAAAGCTTCCCAAAACCTTGCCATAAGAAAGATTGTTAATCATGATAAAAGTCCTAATGTCTCAGACACTGTCTGGGTCTTAAACAGCAATGATGCTTAGATTGCCAGAAGGAAGACACACACACACATTAACATGCATACACAGAGCCTCCAACTTGTACTGGCCTGACTGCTGGAATGCCACTGCTGTTTGACTGATAGATATTGCTCAAAAGAATTGAGATTTAAGCAGCCAGTTGCCCAGAAATATAACCTAAAGATTCGGGACATGAGTCTTTTTAAGAAGACCTCCTCACAGTCATCCTCTGCATCTTCCAATGCAGACAGTGCAAACAAACGCCAAAGCAACAGGGCTACCATACCCAGAGTTCACCAGAGAGGACACTTTACAGTTACATGTCTCCAAAGCACCAAAATCAGCCTGACACACAGCAGATCTCATGCTTCTCAGCCGCTGTTCCCAGGCTCCCTTTGCTGGCTCTAGAACTCCCAGGAGTCCATCCACCGGAGGCCCGCCATGGGGCTGCTAGGGTCAGAGGCCATGGGTCCTACCATCCCATAGGACAGAGGATGGAAGAGGTAGAAGCTGTGGAAAGAAACCAAATGCCCATCAAGGACTGAACAGTTTTCTGTCTCAAAAACATTGCAGCAGATGAGTCCATACAGATGTCCTATGGCACCTTTGGTTTTGGGCTGCTCTAAGATCTGCTGTGGACCTTCTAATCTCTGCTGAACACAATACATACTACATAGTTTTAGCATAGGTGGTATTTTCTCTTAGAAGACAACAGCTTTGGAGAAAAGCCAGCTGACAAAACCTAAACCAATGAAGAATTTGCCTGTATTTGAGGGCTGTGGCACCATTTGACACTGGGACTAGAATCAAAACCCACTGAGCTGTGGGTTTGGAGGAGAACAGTGTTCACACTCAGTGCTGGGATAAAAGAAAGATTCCCTGCAATGGAAATAAGTTTTATAACTCAGTACTAGGACACAGATGCTGAATCTAATAAAACTTGAGGGTTTGGGATTGGGCTTGACGATGTCGGACAAGTTCAGCAGAGAAGAGAGGCAGAGACAAAGGCTAAAGATAATTAACAAGTTTCCATTGAGACAGTGACTGTCACACATTCAGGAAAAGTTCAGCTTTAAGCACTCACCTGTACACGATGAGCAGAATCAGTGCCAGGAACCCCCCTCCATATACTTTTCTAGCTGTAGTGCTGGGTGACAAGAACCCAGTGCAGAACTTCAGTAATGTGTCCCAGGTGATTCCTAGGGGAAGGAAGAGGTAGAAGTCAGGAGCAACACAGAAGCCAAAGAACAGAGCTGCTACATTCAGCCATACAGTGGGCTGACAAAGCTCTGTTAAACATCAGAAAACCTTGTCAATTTTTAAATTCATTTATCTTGGTAACCTTCAAAACAATAGAGATTGTTTTCTATCAGCAGTAGCTTCTGTTTTCCTACCTTTCCATTTGAATAAAGCAAAAGAGATCTGGGCCCCGGAATGCTAAGTTGGTACAAAATTACAGGAAAAACTACCAAGACTGAATTATGAACAGACATGACAGAAAAGTGGGAGCAGCAAACAAAGGGAAGTAACTCGTGTAAAAGCATATGTAAGAACAGTGACACAGCAGAGAATAGGAATCACGTCTCTAAATTTAAATGCCCTAAGCACTAGACATGACTGCCTCTTCAGGGTGGTAACAAAAAAAGACAATTTGGCACTGCGAGCTGCTTTGTGAAAAACATTTTGTCTTAGTCAATGTTTTCAGGGACTTTGCACAAGCAAGCAGAAAACCTATTAAAAAGATACACTGTTTCGTCTGAAAACATTCCATTTAACAGAATTGTCTTCTCGCAGACTCTAGTATTTTACCTGTCAACATGCTGGAAAAAAGCATGGCAGGAAAGTAGTGGTGAAAGTAGAGAACTCGTCCCATCATAAAAAAAGGGAGGTAATGAAGGAGCCAGCCCAGCGTGATCTGCCCTCCACCACGTAGCACGACTCTGGACAGTTCTGGAACACAAATAAACAGACTTAAGCAGAGAAAACTCAACTACAGTTCCTATTTGCAAGCCTTATCACAGTAAGTAAACTCGACAGGAATGATCTTTGCAGGAAGTCACGTACTGGTCTGAAATTGCTCCAAGCCTCTGCAACACCCTAGCTGCATTCTTTATAAACATACTAACAGTTTTTGGGAGAACAGTTATCATAAAAGATATACAAAGGTGTAAGTCTCAAAAGACTGGCAGGAGGTTGACTATGCTCTGTGTTAAGACCAAACTTGCAGTTTCCGAGGACGTACATCAGACTAATTATCTCATTCCAGTTTCTGATATTTTTTATTCTCTCTGCAAAGGGACTACAAGCCATGGAGATGATCACTTTGCCAGCTCTTCCTGGAAAGAAAAGTTGCCTAGCTTCCAAAGCCTGGGGAAAAGACTTGAGAGCTCTGGTGTCTGCATGCAGCTTAGCCAATAACTTATTGTGCAACTGAATAGTTACACATCACATTTTAGAATTCACTTCCCACAAAGATCTACAAAAGGAAGCAACCATTGATGTAAACTGGAATGGCCAAAGTATGACTTATTAGGGTTCGTGAAAAGCTGTACCACCTTGGCATTGGACATAATAAAGGACCATTGCATCTCTTGCATTTGTCATTTGCTTTTCATAAATACTGGAAAACATTTCTGATTTCAAAACACCATGCGTGCTACAGTAGCACAGAGCACACGCAGGGCTTTAGAGCAGGGCATTTATTCAACCAGTCTGTCTCCATTACAGGCAACACAGGTAGCTCCTTGCAGTATTGTTGAAGATCTGTCCTGTTCACTATTAAACTATTTGAGGTTATGAAGCTCCCACTCTTTTCCTTGTGGACATTGCTCAATAACCTAAGCTCAGCAGCTTCCCATCCTTGGGATACAGAGTCCTGTCATCTACACACTTTTAAGGTGCTAGCAAAAGGCATTTGTGAAAAGGAAGCCTATTATCAGTAACCTATGTGGGTTCAATATCTCTACTAGAAAAAACATCTTGGAAGCCTGCAAAGCAGAACAAGCTAAAAACCAGTAGGTCTCTGCATCAGGAAAGTTTCCGACATACTTTTTACCACCTTCCTCTACTGTTATGTCCAGACCAAATAGAGTCTTTCCAACAGATATGCAGCTGCTCATTTCTGAGCTGCAGTAATCAATGTAACTGACGGCAATTGTGGCCAACTTCTTGACTGTTGAGCAGTTCGTAAGCAACTCTGACACTAGGCTGGGTGATCACCTGCAGAGCAGAGCTGGCATGTGAGCTATGGACTAATCCAAGCCTTTGTCTCCTACAAGAAAACAAGGCAGCAAAAGCCTACGGAGACTCATCTTTGAATCACCTTCAGATGCCAGCTGAAGCTGGCAGGCTAGCTCTGGACTCTCCAAAGGAGTGGTAAGACTTTTGAGGAGCCACTGATCACATCTCCTGCCTGAGAGTCACTTCCAGACCTCTTCTCTTGGGCCAAGTAGGTGTCTTGAGGCCCTTGCTGACTTGAGGATTTTCAATCAAATTTTACAGGCTTAGGAAATTCGGCAACTTCTCAGGAACAGTCTGCCACTCAAAAAGTAAGGTTTGTTCGTCAGAGTGATTATTTCTAGTATGGAACCCTTTGTTAACAGTCACATTGTTCAGTGCCACATTTTCAAAGCACTATATAGCTTAGTGTTTTGTACACACAGCTCCCTTAAGTATATTTTCTTCAACCTCCTGGGTTTTAAGACAATATAAACCAAATATTTTTTTAATACAAGAGTCCCAAGATGAGGTTTCCTGTATCAGGAAACCAGGATGTTATAAAAGAGATTCTATAGTGCAGGAGGGATAAGATGATTGACATTACCTTTGAGTTCAGATCTCAGTTGGACACCTCTCTTCAGGGTCACTGCAGTGGAAACTGCTATCAAAAGATACAACCCAATAGTGACCAGATTTAGCCACCAAATCACCTACACAGGAAAAAGAGATAGATTTGGGACTTCAGGCTGGACATACGAACACACATGTGAGAGGAAACAAAAAGCTACATGGAAGCATAAGAGTACAATGAGAAAGAGACAGTCCAAAAGTACTAGGAGGAAAAGAATCATTGCCACTGGCAGAAGCAAGAGTAAGCTAAAATTTGCCAAAGGCTTGGAGCCTCCCACTCCAACTTACCGGGTTTCCCAGCAAGTAAACCCGATAATCAGTCTCATTGACACCAGAAAAACGCAGGCCCTGAGGAAACAGACCAGAAGAGAGTAAAATGGGTTTGCATCAATCCAGTTTGTATTTTGCCCAGTCTCGAAGGCAAGACAAATTCTCATCTGTGCAACTCAGGTACTACAAAATAAAGCTGATGACATCTTCAATGCAGTTAAGAGGTGCTATGCTTCAAGAAGCACAGCAAAAGCACTTGAAAACAGACAGGAAGGTGGATTGATCAATATACCTGGTAGTTTATCGGCCAGTGCCAAGGTTTGGATGTAACTTCATTATCCTTTGGTTTGAGGCCACTGTTGCCCTACAGATAAGTCAAGACAAAATTTAAATGAGCAGGCAGTTATGGCACAAAGCCTGCCCAGAAATATCTGGACACACAAACATACGTGAATACTCTTCATGAGTAAAGACTGCTTTCTGACTACATAAATACATCATGTTCTGGAGATGGCCACAATGAGGACAATTAATGTTTTAATATTACTGTGCAAGTGAAAATGCTCTTTGAGTACCATTAGAGGCAGTATTCTCTCATTTCTCTTCTCCAGCATTTCTGTCACTGAGTATACATGTTGCATAAGCAAGACTTTTGTTCATTAAGAGACTACTTCAACAGGTTTCCCTCCACTCTGAAATAAAAGCCTCAGAAAGATTATTTCCATGGAAACTCATGAAGGTGCTTCCTTACCTGAGACAGCACTATCACTGGTTGCCATGGAAATGCTTAGCATTAATAATTTGCTTTACTACCTTCTTTCTTTTAAGAATCTGAGAAGAACTTTACAAACAGTAGCAAATAAAACCTTAGGCTCCTTTCTCAAAATATAACTTCTAATTCTTCAGATGAAGGATTGAGGAGCTGGAAGCAGAAGGGCTGTGGCCAAGAGCACAAAGAACAAT